CGTCTTTAAGCATTATTAGTTTCAAAGTTAGAATGCCAGAAAGATCGTGATAGTTATGAACATTGTTTCGTTTTTGTATGTTATTATTCTGTGTTCTTTGGTGCATTATTTAATTAAATAGAAATTATTTGATGCAGTAGTACAATTGGTATTAAAAAATAGGATTTAGTTTCATCCACAATCAACAGCAAAAAACAATATAAAACCCGTCATCGAATTCGAAGTTGTTCATTTGATATCTAGAAGTTTGTTTGTTTGTAATTAAGCATAAAGCTACACAATGGGCTATCTGTGCTCTGCCCACCACGGGTATCGATACCAGGATTCTAGCGTTATAAATCCGCAGGCATACCGCTGTGCCACTGGGGGGCATCTAGAAGTTACAGGTACACCTATACTGCAATGAGAATGACCAATCACGTGAATCGTGGTCACCCGGGTTAAATGCGAGGTTTCTTGCAGGCTAATGAACAATACGTTTGATCAGTATAGTGTGAACAACATTTGATTGGTCTGTCTAGAATATCATCTTAGGTGAGTATAATTTGAACAGGATCCTGAACGGTTAACCACTAAAGTGATAGTCCGTTGTTTTTAAAAGTACACACACTGTGTTTCTATTTAGTGTATAAGAAAGATTATGCATTTTGTTTATACTTTGTTTCATGGGCGCCCGCAGGAAGGGGGCCACTTGATCCCCCACCCCCACCCACATGGATTCTGATGACTTCCAGTCTTCCATAGAAGAAAACTATTTCGATTTCATAATTTTTTCAGACTTGAGTAATTGACCCCCTTTTTTTTTCTGTGGGCGTCCTTGCTTTGTTTTCAGTCTCGTTGCTCTATTTTACATAAACTTGATTAGTAAGAGGTTAGTATTACTCCATAATCAATATCTGGAGTGAATCTCCTGTTATCTGCCCCTCAGTGGCACAGCGGTATGTCTGCGGACAACGCTAAAAACCAGGTTTCGATACCGATACCCGTGGTTGGCAGAGCACAAATAGCCCATTGTGTAGCTTTGTGCTTAACCTCCAACAAACAAACAAACTCCTGTTATCTAGTGGATCTATTTTATATAGCTACATCGTTAATTCAGTTTCACCTAGATATACCACAGAGTGAACGAGTAGGAGAAAATTTGGCGCCGCGACTGCAAGATATCGTAATTGCAAGGGATATTATAGGTATAGCTCTGAAAAATTAGAGAAGCCCAAATCAGACCTGGCCACCAACTTGAGAAAACACAATGAACAGCTAGCACCAAACAGGTGATGGTCAGCCCAGCTCTCTTAGGGTTGGATGGACCTTGGTATCTGACCATCGAAGCAGAAAGGCGAAATACAAAATACCTAGTTGATACAGGAGTGGCCATAACAATGGTAGATATCATGCTATGTCAGGTGCTTTGAGTGAAAACACCACTCAGGCCAG